CCAGCCTCCCCCCTTGCAGCATGCCCGGACCGTCCCCCTCCATCAGCTGCCCCAAAAGCTGCCCCGGGGACCCTGGGACCCCCGGCCGGTGGTGCAGTAGGGCGGGAGGGGGGAACACAAGTGTCCGACGCCGCGGGGCAGCACAGACCCCCGGTGCTCTGCCCGCGCCAGGCACCCTCCCATGTGCTCTCCATAAAACCCTGGAAACGCTCCCCCCCGGAGAGGCCCAGCCAGGCGGGAGACCGGCCCTTCAACGCTCCCTGGATTTCTCTAAAGCTCTTTTGTCTCCATCGCCCAGACGCCAAGGAACACCCGGTGCGGTAACAGGACACCGAGCAAGGAGCAAAGCGCTGATAAAGCAGAGGGTCCGGCTGGGGCACTGGAGAGCGGTGACCGCAGCAGATGTGGCTTTTCCCCCCTCCCGAGACCTCCTGAAACCAAAGACCCAGGAATTTCTAAGACATCCGCGTGGTAGGGGGATGCTCTGCCTGCTCCGCTCCTCCGCCGCGGGCGGCCGAGCCCTGGGGTCCCGCGGGAGCTGGACTCACCGGTCCCGCACGTGGCGGGGCAGGTGGGCCAGGGGCCAGAGCGCCAGAAGACCTCCGCCTGCTCGATTTCGTTCTCGCTGTCCGCCGGGCGCTGGATGGTGTACTGGTACCGCACGCCGGGGTTGGTCTCCTGAAACAGCAGCTGCGGGGAGACGAGGGGCGGTCAGGGAGGTGGCTAGTGCAGAGCAGTCCGGGCTGGCCATTGCACCCCACGGGCTTTTCAGGAGATAACAACCTGCCCACCACGGCCATAAAGACGTCATTCTCCGACCGGCTCCGTACCAGGGCTGCATTACCTGCACCCCAGCACACAACCATTTCGGAAACAGCGTTAGCAAATGGCTGAAGCAGCGTAGGAGCAGCGGAGCCGCCCCAGCTCAGAGCGTTGGGCTTGTGGAAATGGCAGGTAACAATAAAAAATAACAGCGAGAGCAGCGAGAACCACAAGGACTTTCGTTTTATGCCTCCCGCTGATGAAGAGCCTGGAAGGATTCCCCTGCTAATCCCATCCAGTCCCACCGCCAAATGCTGCCTCATCCAAGGACCTTCTCGAGGTTCAGCATGGTGAAGGGCCCAGGATGGCCAGACGTCCCCTTCCCCGTCCCCTTCCCCGCATTCGGGGCTGGGGAGGAGGTTTTGCATGTGCCACCAGCGGGGTCTGCAGCACGCGGGGCAGGAACGATGCTCCCCGCAAGGACAGGCCCACGCTCGCTCCCACCGCTCGGGAGCATGCCGAGCCACGTCTGCCTCCCTCCATCGCTCTTCCCGAACTCTCAGCCTGGAGGGAGCTCGGCCCGCTCCCAGCCCCGTGCGCTGGACACCCGATGCGCTCCCCACCCGTGGGACGGACACTCGGCTGCCCATCAGTCACAGGAACCTCCCGTCCTTTGGGACGGCGGCAGAAGGAACGGAAGGTGACAGCAGCAAGAGCCCAGCCCCACAAAGGAGGAATCAAATCTCGCCTCCACGTGTCCCAGACAGCTGCGACTGCTCCAGCAACCGCCTTGGGGAAGCACTGCAGCACACCTCAGCTGCGTGTCGAGATGCGCGACGCGCGCCCGAAGGAATTTCCTTAATTGCTCCCCACTTGAAACGGGTTCCCGCCGCCCTCACCACGCACGAAGCGGCTCCTTCGGTTGACACAAATCCTGCCCAAAGCACCGCCTGCACCAGCGCTCGGCAAAGGCTGGGAGTTTAACCTTGTTTTTCTTAGCCTAAGCGCTCCCATTATTGCCAAAGCTTTGTTGTTCTTGGAGCTTTGAAGGAATTTCCTTAATTGCTCCCCACTTGAAACGGGTTCCCGCCGCCCTCAGCACGCACGAAGCGGCTCCTGCGGTTGACACAAATCCTGCCCAAAGCACCGCCTGCACCAGCGCTCGGCAAAGGCTGGGAGTTTAACCTTGTTTTTCTTAGCCTAAGCGCTCCCATTATTGCCAAAGCTTTGTTGTTCTTGGAGCTTTGGCGGGAGCCAGGGCGTCTTTCCAAAACCTCTTCATGAATATTGAAACATTTTTGTCCAACGGTTTTAATTAGGTTACGAATCCCAGAAAGCGATTTGTTGGTGCCGAGCACCCCAGCGTTGCCATTAACAGCAGCACTTGGCAGCAGACGAGCCCAGGATCCCGCTCACATTTCTTCCTGAGCCTCTGCTGAAGGAAACACAAAAGGCGAAGAATTTGGCTGCTCGGCGGGGCTGGGCTCCACGGCGAGCCTCTGCAAAGGGGCTGATGCTCGGGAAGAGTGCATCGGGCTGAG